ATTTGATGGAAGTTTCTGTCCTTCAACATTTGGATTTTCATCTAAATTGCAAAATGTTGCTTTTTACTGTGGCTTTATTTTGGCAGACTTAAGAGATTAGTCTGCCACTGCAAGTGGGGGAGTGAGAAGTGTATTTTACACCACTAAATGTAAGAACGTCAATGTGTGGACCGGAAGGGTTCCCATCCTGGATAGTTTGAGGGGAGAAAATAATTAAAATCAGCCATTTCTGTCACTTTCTTCTTCCGTTACAGTTATTCAATCTCAATCTATACATGCAAGATTTATTTTTCTTGAAACACGAGCTCTATAAATAATTTGACAAGTTAATGATTTGATGGAAGTTTCTGTCCTTCAACATTTGGATTTTCATCTTATAATCATGCTAATCATGCATGTTATAATTTTTTATGTCAGAAAAATATCAATTAAATAGGGTACCCCACACACATAAAAGAGCTTAACCGCGAAGCCGAATAAGAGCACATTGACATTAGTCACGTCATCAATCAATTGGTGCATGCATACACGAAACTTGTAATTCATGTGGTCCACTGTTGAAGGTTAATATGGATAACAGCTTGTGCAATATGAATTTTGCTCCATGGGGGTTTTATAAACAATCATGTCTTGCAAGTTCATAACTGCTAATAGAATATGAATCTTTCTCCATTTGATAGTAATCAACAACCATGACTAAAGGACTTCCTCCTTCTCACTATCGTATTTGCCATCCTGCAGGTCAATTAGAATGGTTGAGGACACTGTAATTACTGGTAGTGATGATTGGACGGCTAGAATATGGTCTGTTTCCCGTGGTACATGCGATGCAGTTCTTGCTTGCCATGCTGGGCCAATCCAGTGTGTTGAGTATTCTTTATCAGATAAAGGCATAATCACAGGTTCTTACTTCACCCGATGTCTTATTTAGGGTCCTTTGTAATGGTGACAAAACATAGTTTGGTTCGTAATTGATTGTTTTTATATTTGTCCTTGGTGTTGCTGAATGTTGATTGTAGAAATGTTTTGCATTGACATTATCAATATTTTCAGGTTCAACTGATGGACTTATTCGTTTCTGGGAAAAGGAGGAAGGTGAGAGTTTTAACGATGTGATCTCCTGAATGTCTTTCTTTTATCTTTTTGATATTCAGCATTTTCTCGGAATTTAGTTCCTTTGACTTGTTGAGGATGACTGTTCTGGGCACTGTTATCGAGAATCACTTTGGATATTGGTTTTGAAATATGTGGTTACATACATATGAGTGACAGCAAACTATATGCCTAACCTTAGCAAAGCCGTCTTGACGATAATGGGCATGCATGATTTCTTGACCTCTGATGGTTTTTTTATTCTCTGAGAAAGATAGTGCTAGTGCTACAAGCTGCTTTCTTGACCTCTTACCTTATTCTTCGTGTGTGACCAGGGTCTATTTCCTCAGGTGGTAGTGGTAATTGAAGCTTAAATAGAATGTGGAGTGTTCTGAGATATTCATAATCATGTAAAACGAGCAGGTTTCTTTGCTCTTAAGCTTGGACAGATTTTGCTGCATTGATCGGTGTCTCTAGACTAGACAAAATATGCCGACTTATTAGTCAACTGAAGCAATTACCACAGCATAAACAAATATATTCTCATTCTTCCAGGGGGTATAAGGTGCGTGAAGAATGTCACCATTCATTCATCCGCTATTGTATCTATCAGTGCTGGGGAGCACTGGTTGGGGATCGGAGCTGCTGATAATTCAATGTCCCTCTTCCACCGACCACAAGAGCGACTCAGTGGCTTATCAAGCAGTGGATCAAAAGTGGGCGGTTGGCAACTTTATAGAACACCGCAAAAAACCCTTGCTGTGGTATGCATTATTTGTTTGTTCCGGTATTACTTTTCCTAACATGTGCTACTGGATCTTGTTACTAGTGGTAGTATCTCTTCAGAAAATTTTCTTGCTCATCATCATGCCTTTGTGCTCTCTCTCTCTCTCTCTCTCGTAATGTGTATCCATCATTTGTCGATCTTTAGTCGTGGCTTCTACTTTTGGTTTTTAGGTGAGGTGCATTGCTTCAGACCTTGAAAGGAAGAGGATCTGCAGTGGTGGTCGTAACGGCCTTCTTAGGCTATGGGACGCTACCATCAACATCTGAAGTCTGTTGATCCTGGTGTGAATGTTGTGTTCTGGTCTTCAATCTGTACGTATCGCGTTGTTTGTACATTGTCTCAATTTTTCTTTTTCCTTTTCTTGATCCGGGAAGGACAGGATGATTGAAATGCTGAAACTGAGATGCAGTTTTGTTTTCTTTCAATTCTATCTTTTACTTCGTTTCTTCTTTCATGTCATCTATTCTTGCGGTGTGTACAGATAGCGTTTGGAATGCCATTGACTTGCTCTTATCTAGGATCGAAGGACATTGTTGATGCGTGTGGATTGTGACATCGTAGATAGATAAAGAAGATGTAAATCCGCATCAGGCAAAATATGACTAACGAATGGGAAAACTAAGCACAAATGCGACTTTATATGAATGGATTATTTTGTGACGGATTTTATACTCATAAGTAAACTAACTTGGGGGCGACTGACGGGTCCTCTCTATGTATCGCTTATTTTCCTAATTGGCCACTTGGACTCTAGAGTGAGCAAGTGTTGTGCCGAAACGGTTCGTTTCATATATAGAGAATAATTGAATGGGGAGGGGCCGTTTGGAGAGGAAAAATGGCAATTTCTGTAGTTGTGAGGATGAAAATTGAGCTCAGGTGGCTTGATTTGGACCAGATTAAGGGCTCGTTTGGTTCAACTTCTCAAATGCTACTTGAGGGAATGCAAATACCTTTAGGTTAAAGTCCCTTGGGGAAATGCAAGTGGCGTTTGGTAAAAAATCATTTGTAAAGCTACTTTAATCCAAGTAGTGTTTGATAAATTTTTTTTTAGCAAAAAGGCTTTGGGAATTAATTTTTTTATTAAAAAAAAATACCTATCCTACCTTTCGCCGTAGCCGGCGAAGGCCTACTGCTGCCAGTGAGCTAGATCTGGCGTCGGCGGCCGTCGCCCGAGGTCGGGCGACCCCTGACGAGTTAGATCTGCCGCCGGCGGTCGTCGCTTGAGGCCAGGCGATCCTCAGCGAGGGTCGCGCGACCTCAGGTGGCTGTCGCCTGGGTCGTGCGACCTTGCCGGCCTTCCTCGCAAAGAAGATGAACAGTACCAAGAGGGGCAAAACCGGAATAAGCCAAAATAAGTGAGAGTAGTTTGGGGACAAAAAATTTGGGTTCAGCATTTGTGGAATGCCGAAAGCCCAAAGCTAATCCGGACCAGCTTTGGGCTTTCGTCATTTCAAATGCTAGCATTTGGCCAATGCTAGGCCGAATGCTGAACCAAACGGGGCCTAAGGCTTGGTCTTCCATGGGTACCGTCATGGGAGACCTGCAAACTCTATCATGGTCCCCATAAGCTCTCTCAGCGGGATTGCCAAGCTTGCGCAAGCCCCGTGATCGAGCCCATCGGTAGATTCGAGCTCGTGGCTTGCTTGAGCTCCAATTGCTAGAGAGAGAAAGAGGGAAGAGTGTGGGTCACCGGGGTGAGGGGTGAGCGGGCTAGAGGCGCTGGAGGCAGCCATATCTGACGACGGTGGCACCGGGTGGAGAGAGAGACTACTGCTGTCAGGGGAGGGCGAGTGTGAGTTGGAGGGAGAAAAAGTTGGAGGGTGGAGGAAGAGAGGAGGGAGGGGCAAGAGATAGATATAGGTTCGAGGGTAAATGAATTTTTTGAGTTTAAATGAGATTGCAAATTGAAGATTCTTAAAAGTGAAGATGGTTTTTTATTCACGGGTGCTAATTTCGAAATGGTTTTTGTAATTTTCCCAAAAATAAATATCTGTAATATTTATATTTGTAATCCACCAATAAGAAGATCGAAAGTAATTTGCTTTCGATGAAAGACGGAGGAAGACACTGCCCTTAAATGATCTCATTCAAGCGATCTCATTCAATCAGACGCCTTCGATGTATCAATCAGAAAATTCAATGCTCCGATGTGTCAATCAGAAAATTCAATGCTTCGATGCTTGGTAAGAGTAATTTCATACGTAGTTGTTAAGTCATCAATGGTAGGTCTATGTTTAAATACATTGTTCGGGGGCTTGTAATCGTCAGAAATTTTGGCCCATTAATTTGTCGCTCTATGCTTTGAAGGTCTTCCCTCAGGTAGAATCAACTTCTAACCAAATGTAATTGATTAGCAATGGTGTTCATCGAGTTATTTCCAAGGCCATTTAGAGATCTACAAAATTTAATGTATCGATAAACACGTGCCAAAAATGCTAATATATGATAAAAGATAAATTGAAATTGCCATAGAGAAAGTTATTAAGCATTATTCAAAAGGATAATTACCCAAAAAGTCATAAACCTATTGTACGGATGCTAATTTAGTCCTAGACTTTTTAATTTGGCCAATTGAATCCTAAATTTTTTGACGATTTGCCAATGTATTTCTTCTGGCTAATTTTGACTTGAAATTGCTATGCGCTGATGTGGACAATTTTTGTAATTTTTTTTAAAAAAATCTGAATTTTCTATAATTTTTTTTTATTTTTTCTTTCCTTTTTTTGAAAGTGTAAGTGACCCTCGCCTAGATCTAGGCAAGCCGCGACCCTTACCCACGGTTGGCAAGGGCTTCACTGCCCTCGCACACCCTCGCTGACCAACAGTGGAAAAAAAAAGGAAAGAAATAAAAAATTACAAAAAATATATACGTTAGCGTCGATCATGCCACATAGCCAAAGTTAGCTGAAAGGACTACATTGACAAATTTTTAAAATATTTAAAACAAAAAAATTGGCCAAATTGAAAAGTTTAGGACTAAATTGACATCGGTACAATAGATTGAAGACTTTTTTTTGCTTTGGTAATTTTCTCATTATTTTTTTTGGTGAAGTTAATTTTCTCATTATTCAAAGCATGGAAATTTGTTGCCAATGTTGACAAACCAAGAAATAATTATAACTTGGTTAATTCAACCATTCCATTATAACGGCATACCATACCTTAAATTATTAAAATGTGAAGAGCACCACATCCTTGATTTAGAAACATTTTTTTATTGGTAGGACAACCTTAAAAAAAAAAAAACTCAAAAGACGACACAATAATATTGGACATGAACGCATTTAAAGCATCACGACTCATCAAGCCATCATTGTTTGATTCGTCGGGGGCATCATAGCAACCTGTGGCTGCTGCTGCATCTGATGTTGTTTTTGAACGTTGCCCGACCATCCTGTCCAAAAGTGAAACAATCTAATGGATCACACAATTCTTCAATTGAAAAAACAAAAAAAAAGTTATCAAATTAAAACCTAATAAATGCATCGGAAGTCCTAAATTTTTTTTGCAAAGATGCAACCGGGTACTAAAACTTTTCAAAAAGGCAATCAAATCCTAAAATATGCCAAATTGATGCAATCAAATCCATCTGTTAACTCTATCTAATTCGTTAGGAATCTCTCCTTTTCTATTCATGACCAAAGTTGCCGAGCAACCGTCTCATTCATACTTTATCACGGTAACTATAAAAACGACGGATTTTATGAGGTACATTTACTTGCGCAAAGAATTACCGCATTATCGAGCAAAACACGAACCGGAAAAACTGAAAGATGAACACGAGATGTGTCTTAATCCAATTCGTTTCAAATTTGAATATCTATTCAACTGGTTTCTTCTTGCGTGCCTTATTAAGAAAGTATCGTTTGTATCACTGTTATATTGTAGATTAACAATACGGACAAGTAACTAATATACCAATGGAGGGGTCCAAGCCTCGGCGGTTAAGTTCTCTGTACTCTTGGCAAAGAGCACAGGGCTCGCACAGGAAGTGGACGATCCAATCCTGCGCAGGCGACTCCACAAGCCCAAACTTGCTCCTGAGCTTCGATCGGTACGTGCACGTGTAGATCCACGGCATCCCGGTGAAGGCACTGACCAGCACGTACATCAATCCACCCATCGCACAAGCTACGATCATCACAACACAAAACAGCAGAAATTATGAGTCTGCAGCACAATCAAATTGAAGTTGAAGTCATCCAAATTTTGAGAGATTAAAGAGTTTATTCCGAGAAAGAAATTAATCCAAAGAGAGATGCGAAAATGATTTTGGTCACTGCATGATGAGCCGTCTCTTTCTGTTCCCTTTTCACTCACAGGTTGTGCCGCCGTCGATGATCTCTGCAATTTGGCCGAAGGTCAAGAATGGGAAGAAGAACGTAACAGCAGCTGAAACATGAGAGACATAATAAATATTAGAAACTAGATCTTGATCTGATCTTGATAATAGATGGGTTATTGCCATGTGAAACAGTCACTAGTAAAAAAGAATAACCTAAAGAGTCGTGACACGCACACATAAATATAACAACCATGCATGTCTACGTACATAACCCAGGTTGGATTTCAGACACTATGAAAAAGGGTGTTGCAAGAGATTTATGTCTATTTAATATTTTTTTGGTAAACTCGTATGATAGCCCTACCGTTCATGGGGTCGTCCATGCAATCAAACAGCCCCGTGCTCCAACCTTCAGTGTTGACGGCGCCGATCATGTTTGCCTGAACTGGAATGCCCTGCGCTGCGCCGTTGTTCCCCTGGACTCCCTGCTTGATAAGTGGAGGTGGCACCGTGGCGTACTGCACTTCCCCCCCTGCCGGCGGTTGGAACTGCACAGGCTGAGTAGCTGGCTGTTGTTGAAAAGCCGGCGAAGGAAAAGACGGCTTTGTCGGTGGCAAGTTCGGAGGGTAAGGCTGGGCTGCGCTCTGTTGAGCATGTTGCGGTTGCTGTTGAGGAAGAGGATATTGTTGGGGCGTTGCCACAGTTGTAGGGTTCAACAACGAAAAACAACGCAGCGGAATATAGAACCCTAGACAGGATCCATGTGTATATTGAAATCGGAAAGGAATTTCGATACGTACCTTTTGCAGATCGAAGATAAATCAGCAACTGATTGTGTCTGGATGAGCGCCCCAAGTGTTGCGCCTCTACCGGTATCCACACACACGAACGGAATTCTCCAACGATCCACGTGCTAGCGAAAGATCTTGAAGTTCCTTTTCTTGAACGCCTTTTGATTTTCGATACTCTATCGAAAAACCCTAGACAGAAGAACGATTCTCTATCTATTTATACTGACCTCATTATCTAGCGGAATTAAAAGAAGTGGGCCGGGCTATTTGGGCCCGCCAAACCGTCCACCTTCAATCGTACGTTTAATCGTTATCTCATAACGCGCACGACCGCATAGATAATTTAAATAGGAGAATAAATTAAAATCTACTTCTTAAGTAGATCAAGGCGCATAGACAATATTAAGTCCGTTCGCTATTGTGTGCGACCCTGTAGGTTCACTAAACATTAGCAGTGTGCCCAAAACTCTTTTGGCCCACAAGTCATAAGCGGTCTCTAGCAACACATTATGACTACCTAAGTATAGTGAAGATCGGTTTTCCGACACAACCTAATCCACAACTAATATTAGAGTATCAACCTTGATTGATTCTTAGGGCAGACCACTAACAATCTCCCACTTGCACTAGAACCAATCATATAAACTAAGTCTCTTTGTCACTTGATTTCCGAGTTAAGCATAAGGCAGGACAAGTGTCATCCTTATATAGTTTAAACTCATTTTCCCGATACCGCAGTTAGACTGTCAAAACAAGTAGTTGACTCTTCAACTCACTTGAACATGGCCATGCATTTCACAGTCTCAACTCTACGGGAGGCCAGGAAATCATACCCTCGTTATATGAAAGGGACAAATCCCATCTTGTCTACTCACATCACTCAGCACGCTTCATGACATACCCAGCCATTACCTTTATAATCACCTGTTACGGCTGACGTTTGGCAATGTTAAAGCATGCCAATCCACGTCTAGGAAACCATGGTAGACTCAGGTCAAAGGACTATACTCTATAGCTGTGATGAGAAATACTGATGACATTATATAACAATCCTACAGTATTCTCATAGCGGGTCGGTCCAATACAATGTTCTCCAACATGTATTCCATGTGATCAACTTTATATCTCTATATTCATGACCCGTGAAACTTGGTCATCAGTTGACTCACATGCTAGTCTCAAATGCCATTTGCGTCCCAATGCACAATGGCAATTGACTAGGGACATTTAGAATATGAATATTCACTCTATTAATAGAGTTTCACGATCAAATCACGTATTTGATGATCTATTAAGGATATTCGATATTCAGGGGATAAAGATTTCGCATTCAATTATATACTCAAATTAAATCGAAATCAAATATAATATATATATTATTAATGAACAATGAAAATGTATGTCACATATACTCCCACTCACATCAAGACCAATCACTAATGTGTCTAAGGCCTAAAGCGTTACAATGACGCTCATGCTTAGGTTGTGGAAGAGCCTTCGTCAACGGATCAGCTGTATTCAACTCCGTTGCAACTTTACACAACTTGACATCACCTCTTTCAATGAATTCTCGAATGAGATGATACTTCCTGAGTATGTGTTTGGTCTTCTGGTGAGACCTAAGCTCTTTACCCAAAGCTATGGCCCCATTGCTGTCACAATAGAGGTCCACTGGAATCGAACTAGTGGGACTGATTCCCAGTTCTTCTATGAACTTTCGAATCCAAACAGCTTCCTTTGATGCTTCTGAAGCAGCAATATACTCAGCTTCTGTCGTAGAATCTGCAAGAGTTTCCTGCTTGGAACTTTTCCAGCACACCGCTCCACCATTCACGCAAAAGACAAAATCTGACTGTGATCGAAGGTCGTCTTTGTCGGTTTGGAAACTAGCATCAGTGTAACCATTTACAGTGATCTGTTCCTCACCTCCATAGACTAAGAATAAATCCTTAGTTCTTCTCAAGTACTTAAGGATATTCTTGACAGCAATCCAGTGAGGTTCCCCTAGATCTGACTGGTATCTACTTGTCATGCTCAATGCATAAGCAACGTCAGGACGAGTGCATAACATAGCACACATGATGGATCCCACAGCTGATGCATAAGGAATCCTACTCATGCGGTCTCGCTCATCTTGTGTTGAAGGACACTGAGTCTTGCTAAGACTTATGCCATGTGTCATTGGGAGAAAACCTTTCTTGGAATCTTGCATATTAAACCTATTGATGACTTTGTCAACATATGTACTTTGACTCAGTCCAATAAGTCTCTTAGATCTATCTCTATAGATCCTGATCCCCAAGATATAGTTTGCTTCTCCCATGTCCTTCATGGAGAAAAATTTTCCTAGCGATGTCTTAACTGACTGAAGCATAGGAATGTCGTTTCCAATGAGTAGTATGTCATCCACATACAACACTAGAAACACAATTGCACTCCCACTAGACTTCTTATATACACAAGCTTCTTCTTTGTTTTTAATGAAGCCAAACTCTTTGACAGTTTCATCGAAACGAATATTCCAGCTCCGTGATGCCTGCTTCAATCCATAAATAGAACGTTGAAGCTTGCATATCTTCCCAGTGTTATCTGGTGATGTAAAGCCTTCAGGTTGTGTCATGTACACATCCTCCTCTAGTTTTCCGTTAAGGAAAGCTGTCTTTACATCCATTTGCCATATCTCATAGTCATAATATGCAGCAAATGGTAGGATAATCTGAATGGACTTAAACATGGCCACTGGCGAAAAGGTCTCGTCATAGTCAATACCATGAGTTTGTTTGAAACCTTTAGCTACTAGCCGTGCTTTATAGATGTGAACATTTCCATCCATATCAGTTTTCTTCTTGAAAACCCACTTGCACCCTATAGGTTTGACACCTTCAGGTGGATCAATCAAAGTCCAAACTTTGTTTTGATACATTGAGTCCATTTCGGATTTCATGGCCTGAAGCCATTTATCAGAGTCTGGGCCCATCATAGCTTCTGTATAGGTCGTAGGTTCGTCATTTTCTATTAACAATAGATGACGATGTTCTGTCACGTGAAAACCATATCTCATAGGCTCACGATGTGTTCTTTCAGACCTACGAACTATAAGTGCCAATGGAGTAGACTCTACAACTCTTTGTAGATCTAATTGAGGTTCCTCATGAACTGGAACACCCTCTTGTGGCACAATAACTTCTTCGAGGTTTACCTTACTCCCACTGGTTCCTTTAGTAAGAAACTCTTTCTCTAAAAAGACACCATTTCGAGCAACAAACACTTTGTTCTCTGATGGATTGTAAAAGTAATATCTTTTCGTTTCTTTAGGATATCCGACAAAGAAGCATTTATCAGATTTGGGTCCAAGCTTATCAGAAAGTAAACATTTTACATAGGCTTCACAACCCCAAATCTTTAGAAAAGATATACTAGGAACTTTTCCTGTCCACATCTCATATGGTGTCTTCTCTACAGCTTTTGATGGACTTCTATTTAGTGTAAACGCAGCTGTCTCGAGTGCATATCCCCAGAAAGATAATGGAAGATCTGAATGACTCATCATTGATCGAACCATGTCTAACAAAGTTCGATTTCTCCTCTCAGAGACACCATTCCACTGTGGTGTTCCAGGGGGAGTGAGCTGTGAAACAATTCCACACTCTTTGAGATGGTCATTGAACTCTTGGCTTAAATATTCTCCTCCTCGATCAGATCGAAGAGCCTTGATATTCTTGCCAAGTTGATTTTGTACTTCATTCTGAAATTCCTTGAACTTTTCAAATGAGTCAGATTTATGTTTCATCAAGTAAACATATCTATATCTACTGAAATCATCAGTAAATGTAATGAAGTACTGATAACCTCCTCTGGCTGTAGAACTTAGTGGTCCACACACATCAGTATGTATAAGGGCCAATAATTCTTTTGTCCTCTCACTTTGATTAGTAAAAGGAGCTTTTGTCATTTTTCCAACTAAACAAGATTCACATGTATCAAATGATTCAAAATCAAATGAATTTAATAGTCCATCGCTATGAAGCTTGTGAATTCGTTTCTCGTTTATGTGGCCTAATCGACAATGCCATACGTAGGTTGGATTCAAATCATTAGATTTAAACCTTTTTGTATTTATATTATAAATTGGCACATCAAGACTTAGAACATATATCCCATCCACAATATGGGCGCTACCATAAAATAATCCATTAAGATAAAACGAACAACTATTGTTCTTTATATCAAAACAGAAACCTTCCTTGTCCAAACAAGAAACAGAAATAATATTCTTGCGTATAGCAGGTACATAGTAGCAATTATTCAGTTCTAAAAACATGCCAGAAGGTAAAGCTACATCATATGTTCCTACGGCTAATGCAGCAACTCTTGCTCCATTCCCAACACGTAGCTCCACTTCACCTTTTGTAAGTGTTCTACTTTGTTTTAGTCCCTGCACATTCATACAAATGTGAGTACCACAACCGGTATCCAATACCCATGAAGTAGAACTAGTAGTAACATTTACTTCTATAACATAAATACCTGAATCGGAAGTCTCACTTCCCTTTTTCTTCAGATCCTCCAAATATTTCTTGCAATTCCTCTTCCAATGTCCATTCTCCCCACAATGGAAGCATACAGCATCAGCAGTCGGACCCGGTTTGGTCTTGGATTTGGGTTTAGGCTTAGTGCCCTTGCCCTTACCCTTGACCTTACCTGGCTTCTTAAAGCCTTTCCCCTTTTGAACCATGAGAACATTAGGGGTAGGGTCCTTCTTGATATTCGCTTCAGGTTTTGAGCATCCCATGCGGTTCGTCAAAGACTTATTCGATTATGCATATTATAGTTCATAACAAACGTGTCATAATCTTGAGGCAATGATCGAAGAATAATGTCGATAGCCAACTCTTGGCTAATGGGAGAGCCCAGTCGCTCCAGGTTTTCAATATAACCTATCATCTTTATGACATGTGGGCTAACTGAGCTCCCACTTGCTAGCTTGCACTCAATTAAGGTCTTTACCGTTTGATATCTTTCAGTGCGTGCCTGCTCCTGAAACAAATTTTTCAGGTTCATGATCATATCATAGGCATCCACGTTCTCAAACTGCTTCTGAAGGTCTGAGTTCATGGTAGCTAACATTAGACATGATGCATCCAATGCATCATCTTTATGCTTCTGATAAGCATTCCTTTCAGCATGGGGAGCATTGGAAGGAGGTGCCTTCTGAGGGAGTGGTTTCTCCAGGACATAATCCTTTTTCTCTTGCTTGAGAACAATTCTCAAGCTTCTATACCAGTCCAAAAAATTCGAACCATTCAATTTGTCCTTCTCAAGGACAGATCGCAGTGAAAAGTGTGATGCAGAGCTATTTGCTATTATCTACAACAAATATGCAAAGTGAATTGTTCATTAACATTATAAATAATAAACTCCCACTATACTTTTATAACATGTGTCCCAAAAAGTATAGTGGACCAAGATCCATATTTTACCAAGACTCGAGTAAACTTTGGCTTACCGCTCAAGACTAAGTTATTTAGGTAGACAACCCTTTGTCAATTGTATCGAATACAACTCTTGGTTGTTGGGGTTGATATCTCATATCATATCCCCAAACACTATGCCTCAAGGCCCAAAACCGTTTTGATAGCCTCGTTAAGTAAACCAATCTTAACATATGGATAACCATTATCCATCCTATTTTACTCAAATAGTTAAAGACACCCTGCTTTGGCAGGCCCATCTTTTGACGATTCGAGTCTTAATAGGTGTATGATTGGAAAGGCATCATATTATTACTTAATTTTATTAGGGACTCTTAATGTTTATTTAGCGATGAATGCATGCATGTTATGAACAAAAACAAAGCATCACTTATCATAACAAAGGTATATCAATCATATATATGGGAACGAACAATTCCATGCAGGGGTCAAGGGGGCTGCGCCCCCTTGCGGGGTCGAGGGGCAGCGCCCCTCGCGGGGGCTCGGGGGCAGCGCCCCCGAAACCTAGACAGAATTCACAATTCTGTTTCCCAGGAGAGTCCCGAAAACATAAACAGAAGTCTCAATTCTGTGTTCTCGGGAGACTATCCGTCGCTGCCGCCTCCCGCGCCCTCACCGTACGCAACTGGCCGAACGCCTCGAGTCCTCGACGCGCCGGAAGACTAGGCGCGCTGCCGTCTCCGCCTCGGGCAACAGACCCAGACGCGCCCCCGTCTCCGACCGCCGTCTCCGCCCGCGCGTCCCCGCCTCGGGCAACAGCCCAGGCGCGACGCCGTCACTGCCTCGACGCGAGCGGAACATGATCGACATCGACCCATCCCTGCTTCGTTCCTTCTGAATTGATCATATCAATTCGTATTTCAAATTCTTCTAACCCTAATTTAGACTCACTTCAGGCATACATCATATGTATCAACAATTAGGGTTTCCAATTCAACTTCAATATATCACAAGCAGCTCTGATACCACTGTAGGGTTCAACAACGAAAAACAACGCAGCGAAATATAGAACCCTAGACAGGATCCATGTGTATATTGAAATCGGAAAGGAATTTCGATACGTACCTTTTGCAGATCGAAGATAAATTAGCAACTGATTATGTCTGGATGAGCGCCCCAAGTGTTGCGCCTCTACCGGTATCCACACACACGAACGGAATTCTCCAACGATCCACGTGCTAGCGAAAGATCTTGAAGTTCCTTTTCTTGAACGCCTTTTGATTTTCGATACTCTATCGAAAAACCCTAGACAGAGAACGATTCTCTATCTATTTATACAGCCTCATTATCTAGCGGAATTAAAAAAAGTGGGCCGGGCTATTTGGGCCCGCCAAACCGTCCACCTTCAATCGTACGTTTAATCGTTATCTCATAACGCGCACGACCGCATAGATAATTTAAATAGGAGAATAAATTAAAATCTACTTCTTAAGTAGATCAAGGCGCATAGACAATATTAAGTCCGTTCGCTATTGTGTGCGACCCTGTAGGTTCACTAAACATTAGCAGTGTGCCCAAAACTCTTTTGGCCCACAAGTCATAAGCGGTCTCTAGCAACACATTATGACTACCTAAGTATAGTGAAGATCGGTTTTCCGACACAACCTAATCCACAACTAATATTAGAGTATCAACCTTGATTGATTCTTAGGGCAGACCACTAACAGTTGGGGCGTTGCCACAGTTGGAGGGTAGGATGGCTGCTGCTGCTGCGGATAAGGCCCCTGATTTGCATAGGCTGGGTTCATTTGAGGGCTTTGAGGCGGGAACTGTGCCATGGGCTGAGGCGGCGGTGCTGCGGCATAGAGCTGGTTGAATTGCGGCGGCGCGTTCTGCACATGGCCAACGCTGCTGCTTCTTCTTCTTTGAGGTGGTTAGGCTATTCTTTGTTGCGCGGCGCCGGTTGAGGCTATTCTTTGTTGCCGCGGCGGCGGTTGGAAGCTATTCTTTGTTGCGGCGGAGGTGGTTGGAGCTATTCTTCTGCTGCTTTGCTTTGGTTATTTGCGGCGTCGTTTCTTTGGTATTGTGGATTCGGCCCGTTGTCATCGCCGGATTGGAGGGGCTGATACGACTGGTCGAGTTGCGGGTTCGGATGGTAGTAAGCCGGGCCGTTGCTGTGATCATCGTACGATACCGGTTGTGGCGGAGGTGGTTGGAACTGTTGCTGCTGCTGCTGGTTATTTGCAGCGTCGTTTTGCTGGTATTGTGGATTCGGGCCGTTGTCGTCGCCGGATTGGAGGGCCTGATACGACTGGTCGAGTTGCGGGTTCGGATGGTAGTAAGCCGGGCCGTTGCTATGATCATCGTACGATACCGGGACCATATACTGAATTTGGACATTGTTACCTGCTTGGTCTTGGTGGATATTAGAAGACTCTGCTTCAGGGTTTCCCATTGGAGCAATCTCGATCGAGATCGAGAGAGACAAATGGAGAATATACGAATGCACGAGGGTGGAGAGAGAGCTCTTATATAGCGAGAGTTGGTCGTGCTAAGATTGAGAATTATTCCCACTCCCTTTTAATGTTAAGAGAGAGAAGTTCTGACGTTGATTTTTGAGAGAAAGGGCTGAACTTCGACTCAATACATGATAAGATATCATCTTAATTTATTCGATGTGACCTCTGCCGTGGTCTTTGAACTCTTAATTTATTCAAAGTGTGGTTCCTGGACTTAGTATATAAAAATATTTAATATTGTCTATCCATTAATTCAAGTTTGGGGACAATATTAATATCGAACATTTTACTATAGTTCAAGGACTAAGTTGAACGTGTACCAAAAGTTCAGAGACTATATTGAACAAACTAAGAATTCAGAGATCGCATTACACGTTGTGTTATAGTTCAGGGACTATATCGAACAAATTAAAAATTTAGAGAACACATTTACGCGTTAACCTAAAGGTCAGGAACCGTGTGTGTCATCATTCTTCTGCTGAACCGATCATTCGCTTCTTTGGGTGGTAACGAAGGCAAGAGTCTCAGTCTTCGTCTTCGCGCAATCACCGGCTAATGCTCATCGTACTGATGTCGGCCACAAAATGAAAAATATCTACAGCTTTGGATTCCAAAGCTCCGTGCATCTTGAGCGTACATAGACTCTTTCGGATCCATCGGGACCATCTATTCGTATCATGGCATGCACGTATGCTAGATAATGTGGAATTTCGTTACATTTTAATGTGCTCTCTTCTCTATTAAGCAAAGCAGTGGAGGACGGAAGTTTAAAGGGGATAAGACTGAACAGAAACTGCCCCACCCTGTCTCATCTCTTATTTGCTGATGACGCACTGTGGGGGAATGTCAGAATTTGGCGAACATTTTAAATCAATATTGCTTTGGTTCAGGACAAGCAATCAATGTGAACAAATCCAGGGTCTTTTTTAGTGCGGGCTATCCACAAAGCCTGAAAAGTAACATGGCGAGTGCACTAAGAGTACCAGTTATGGAGAAAACCAGAAAATACTTGGGCATTCCCTCGGATTGGGGTCAAACTAAAAAACAGATGTTTGCATGGATTTTGGCAAGGGTAAACATGAAGATGGAGGCCTGGAAAGAGAAATTGTTATCTAAGGCGGGAAAGGAGACTTTGATTAAAACAGTAGTACAAGCGCTTTCTTAATATTCTATGTCGATATTCAAGATCCCTATCTCAGTGTGCAAAGCCATAGAGCAACAGATAACAACCTTTTGGTGCAAACAAAACTCATCCAAGTCCGGAATTCACTGGAAGAATTGGGAAACTCTCAAAACAAGGAAAGTAGATGGAGGTTTGGGTTTCAAAGACCTTGTTACTTTTAACAAGGCGATGTTGGGCAAGCAAGCATGGAGACTCGCACACTCTCCTTCTACCTTATGGAGCTAGCTTTTGAAAGGGATTTACTTCCCAAGAGGCAACCTATGGAATGCAAAAAAGGGGTCCCGCCCTTCTTGGGGGTGGCAAAGCTTGCTTATGGGAAGAGACGCGATGAGTTCTGAAGTAAAATGGGTGGTCGAAAAAGGAGAAAGTATTGATATAAGAGAGGACAAATGGCTAGAGTTCGGTGTTATCGGGGGTCCAGCCAACCGAGAAGAGTTGCAAATTTAATCGACCAAGGATCGAATATGTGGAAGAAACACCAATTGCAGGAGCTATTTGAAGAGAACATTGTGAAAGAAATACTTGCCATTCGGATTAGGTCGAACTTAGAAGGGGATCAATTAGTTTGGACAGGAAACACTACAGGGAGTACTCGGTGAAGCAGGGATACAATAGACTACGCTCAACACTATCAAAGTCAGACATAAAACAAGCATCCTCATCATACCAGCCACCTCGGTCCCTATGGACTAAGATATGGAAGCTACACACCGATCCTAAAATTCGCATTTTTTTGTGGAGCATGTGCCAAAATGCCCTACCCACGAAGGAGAACTTGTGCAAAAGGCAAGTAGTACCTGACCCGCTTTGTCCGATTTATCGGAAGACCCCCGAAACTACTGAACATATTTTCGTCCTCTGCGACTGGAACAAAGCAATTTGGTCAGATCGAAGACTAAATGTGCACGCATCTCCGATGTACATAACAAGGATAGACAAATGGGTAGATGAAGTGCTTATCTCAAGAGCTGACCCTTCTTCTTGAGAATGGGTTGTCGGAATTCTATGGCTAATTTGGAAAGAGCGAAATGCATTTGTATTCCAGAACAGACTACCTAACCCAGAAACAATTGTCGAAGATGCCCAAACACTAACCAACACCTTCCGCCGGTGGAACATTCATGTGATGAATCGGTGGACGGAGAAGAAAATGCTACCCGAGCAATGGTCGCCACCAGTAAAGGGGGTCTGGAGATTCAACTTGGATGGGTCTTGGCTCGACGGCTCTGAAGAGGGATCAGCGGCGGGAGTGTGTCGAGATTACCGGGGAGTGATAATGGCTGGATTTGCAAAGAATTTTGCAGCTTCTTCAGCCCTTGAGATCGAAGCTCTAGCACTGAAGGAAGCGTTGGAGTGGCTGGTAGATACCACCGAACTTAGGCAAAATGGTGTGCTGCACGTGGAAGTTCTAACAGATAATGAAGCTGTGGTTAAATTCTCAGCTGAACCAAGCCAAAGCCCATGGTACCTGAGGAGTTTTTTTGAGGATTGCAAAGACTTATTAGCTCAATTGAAAAGCGTTTCCTTAGCCCACTGCTCACGAGAAGCCAACCAAGTTGCAGATTGGACCGCAAAGGCCAATCGGAAAAGGATACTCCCATGTAATGGGCTATCTAAGCCACCCCAACACCTTTGGGATTTATTATGTCTTGACTCTTGTTTTCAACACTTGTTCAGTACCACTTTGAATGAATGAACGAAATGGTACCTGGTTGGACAAAAAAAAAATAGATTTGGAAAGGTCCAACTACGATTTTGAGACCTCATGTCTGTTTGGTCTTCCTCGATTCATCTAATTTGGCCCATCACTTAGGAATTTCGGATCCAATTTCGGATCCAATTTCTAGAAATAACTAGCATGGCATAGATATCAATCCATTTCCTAAAAAAAAGGGAAAATTTCAAATAAGAGTCTGAAATGCCACCATTTTCTTAACTAGCATGGAGAATATACGAATGCAAGAGGTTGGAGAGAGAGAGAGCTCTTATATAGCGAGAGTTGGTCGTGCTAAGATTGAGAATTATTCCCACTCCCTTGTAATGTTAAGAGAGAGAAGTTCTGATGTTGATTTTTGAGAGAAAGGGATGCGTCTGCTTTGGGAGGTGGCCAAGTCAAGAGTCTTTGTCTTCGCGCACTTAATCCAAATCTACCGAGGGAAAAATGGCACAAACGGTTTATGAACTTCAACTCAATATATGATACGATCTTTCAAATCTTAATTTGTTCGATGCGACTTCTGCCGTGGTTCTTGAACTCTTAATTTGTTCAATGTGTGGTCCATAGACTTAATATATATAAATATTTATTATTGTCTATTCATTAATTCAAGTTCGGGGACAATATTAATATCGAACATTTTACTATAGTTTAGTGATAAAGTTAAACGTATACCAAAAGTTCAGGGATCACATTAAATAAATTAAGAGTTCAGGGATCGCATTACATATTGAGTTATAGTTTAAGGATTATATCGAATAAATTAAAAGTTCAGGGAATACGCCTTCACGTTAAACTAAAGGTCGGGAACTGTGTGCGTCGTCATTCTTCTGCTGAAACCGTGTGTGTCAGCATTCGCTTCTTTGGATGGTAGCGAAGGCAAGGGTCTCAGTCTTCGTCTTCGCGCAATCACGGACTAAAGTTCATCGTACTGATGTCGGCCACAAAATGAAAAATATCTACAGCTGTGGATGCCAAAGCTCCTTGCATCTTGAGCGTACATGGACTCTTTCGAATCCATCGAGACCATCTATTCGTATCATGGCATCCACGTACGCTAGATAATGTGGAATTTCGTTGCATTTTAATTAGATTTGGAAAGGTCCAACTACGATTTTGAGACCTCGTGTCTGTTTGGTCTTCCTCGATTCATCTAATTTAGTCCATCACTTGGAATTTGGGATCAAATTTCTAGAAATAACTAGCATGGCATAAAATTTTAAATAAGGATTTAAAGTGCCGTCATTTTTTCAAATTAAGATTCGAAATAGTCATTTAGTCTCAAATAAGAGCCTGACTCGCCGGCCGGCAAACATTTGCTTCTCCGAGAGCGACGGTGGGAGGAGGGGGACAAGGAAGGCGACGTGGTTGTCCTAGTCGCAGTCCGGCGGAGAGGACGAGGTTGTCGGTGGAGCAGCGGGCGGAGGTGCAGTTGTCGCATATCTGGGAGCGGAGGTGCTTGCGAGAGAGGTTGGCGGAGTGGGACTTGGTTTTCGCAGAGTAGGCAGAATATGGCCGCCGCGTCGTTTCCATACTTTTCTTTCTTTTTGTTTTTCTTTTTTCCCACTCTACTCATCTTCTTCTTTTGGTTCCAGGCCATGGATCTTCTTCCTCCCCAATTTTGCTTCACCATGGCACAGTCGGGAGGCATTCTCTCCGGTGCGACCTCAGATTTAACCCCTTCACAAACACCATGGCTGTCTCTTACATTCGCGCTCCCGCTGAAACCTCCGCTTAATTCAGAATCTTTCGCGTGAAGGATGAGTGTCGATAGATACGTAAAACACTCAGAAAAAGAGAGATGCCCATATTTTGCGTTTCTCATTTGCCTATTTGAAACAATCCCAGCAATCCCTACCCAAAAATTGGTGAGCCCCAATTTTGCCTTTCATCTCACGGAAACTTCTCTCTCATTTGCTGCTCATACTTACACCACGGTCGTAGGTAGATCTCTCCGAGAACACAGAAAATGGTGCGCCCCAATTCCGGTGTTCTTGATCTGGGCAATGCCTATCTTCAACATTGACCAAGAAGATGATGAATAGGGACACCGTGGCTCGGATCCAGGAGAAGATGAACAGGGGAAAAAAGAGAAAGAAAAAAAATATATCTTAGGACGAAAATACTCTTGATCGGTTGCTAGAATACGAATGGGAGATGCACATGTTAGCCGGCCGGCATGTCAAGCCCTTATTTGAGACTAAATGACTACTTCGGGTCCTTAT